ATTTGTCTTTTTAACTTGTTTTTTTTTCTCAATTTTTATTTCTTGATTGGTGTCAAACATTTTGTGTCTTATTTGCCCAAAAAACTACTTGTTTTCACAATCAACGTCCAAATGTCTTAACGCAAAACGCCTTCGATACATGTTTAATTCTTTTTTCAAATCTTGATCTTTTTTGTATGTAATTTTTTCTCTCTTTTCTCATCCTATAAGCGAGCACATTCACAACAAGAAGTGTTGAAAATAATTTTTTCTTTGATTAAAATCATAATTACTGAAAATTCAAAAACAATGTCTTTAAATTTGTAACACTATGAATTAAAAGAAAAAATCACTTGAAGTGAAAACACAATATTTAAAATGAAAAGTATATATAATGTTTTTGCTATTTCTAATATATTTACTATTAACAGATACAAGAAGAAAAATTTCAATCTTATAATATATCTCACTCCGAATTGATTGATGATAACAGACAATACTAATAAGCACACGAATGGTTGATATGTCGCTCTCAACTTATACATATAATCGTAAGCAAACAAATATTCATAATGATCACATGTTGTTAACTAATCAATTCAATCTTTAACTAACAAAACATGGATTGTGATGTGTCACTGTCAAAAAAAAATTTGATATAGATATATTTTGAATAAATTTTTTTACACTTATGATAATTTTCACCTAAATTTTTAATTTTTTTGAAAATAAAGTTTTCAAATAAAAATTTAAATTATTATTCAAATATATATATAATATAATAGATATGATTAAAGTAAAAACTATATTTCACAATTATATAACAAAACAACACACAAATTATGAAAAAGATATTTACAATGCTAAGTGTGCAAATTGCTACATTGAAAAACTAATTTTGTTTTGTTTTGAATTAAGTCTAACTTTTTTATTTGTTTATAAGAAAACTGATTGTAGTGATTTGAAGTTAAATTTTTAGTACAATTATCTTGTGTTTTCGTGAATATAATTGCATTAGGATTAACCACATATTTTATTTGTTGACATTTTTAGAATTATATTTCTATATATATGCACAAAACTATTGATATTAAAACTTGAGAACAACTTATGACTATCTTCATTAAAAAATACACATGTTTTCTTTAGCAATAGATATATTTGAAAATTTTGAAAAAAAAAGTTTGTTTGAGATAGAATTTTGCTTGCAATAATGAGCAATTTATTTGAGAACCCATGTGAATATGAAAAGAAGAGTTGTGAAATTCATTTTTAATAATAGATTATTGAATTACACTATCATCTTGGAGTAGTGATGAGTGATTATAATACTATGATGAGTGGAGAGTTTGTTTGCGAGTATAATTGGATCGCAGACATGTAGAAGAATCCTTGTGTTTTATAATCTTGATGAACTATTTAAAAGTTTTTTGAGTTAGATCTAGATGAAAGTCAGTCAACTAACACACTAACTAATGTCTCCAATTCTTAACTAATTATTTTCTATTAACAAACTTGCTCTTTACTTTCCAAAAATATAGATTGCTCACATGGCATGAAGACTTTAGATTGTTCACTATGATGCAATTATATTTTCATCTTGAATATTTTATACTTTAGTTTTAACCAATTAATGGTGCTTAAGTAAGTTCACAGTCTTTCATGTGATGTATTCCAATTTTGAAGTTGCTTTGATTAAAAAAATTTGCAACCTTAATTCATGCCGCACCTCAATTCTTGCTTTGCTTTCAATCTTAGCTATATGTTCAATAATCTTCGTTGATTGAAGCTTGACTCATGAGTGAATGTGTCAAAATAATTTCAAATACAGACATACGAGTAAAATTAATATGATAATAAATAAAATTTGATAAATATTCATCATCCAATATTATTTTTACAATTTTAGATAAGCTTATATATTTTATCAAATCGATAAATATATTTTTAAATATATTACTCTATTTTATTTTTATATACAAGTATGATATATTTGATATTTCATTTCACAAATTTGCATAGAATTTTCTTACAGTATCTACAAAAGAAGACAAAAAAATATCATCTACATGTACATCTTAATGTAAAATCAATGATGATGCTTTATATGTCATGATTTTAAGGAAAAAAAACATAAATGATCATTTTGCCTCAAAAAACGTAAACATGTCCAAGTCACATTACAATTGAAATCATATCAGTATTAAGTAAATATCGAATATGCAATTCTCATTACATAGCAAACACCACATTGCTATTTATTTTTATCATTTAAAGCTTCTTAAAAATATATTGCATTACATTGTAATCAACTTCAATTGACTATATATATGCATGCAATTGGCCAAAAGCTAAATCAAATTAAAATCAAATTCTACTATTAATAATAAATTCATTGGCAATCAATATTCAACTAAAGTTCATCATACATTGATATGAATCTGCTTTTGGTATTGCAAGAATGCGAAAGCTACTTTTTTGTCATACATCCTACTAGAAGTTGGAAATGAAGAGTTAGGGTCAAAGATATTTATAGTTTTTCACTTTGTCACTTTAACTTTCAAGTCTATATAATCAAGCTCAACATTTAAGTTGTCAAAATTCAAACTAAGTAGGTCTAATTCGTTTACAAAATTTGTGGACTCTGATGTAGAGAATTTGAATACTTCTTAGTTTTACAATGGTACAGAGAATATATTTTTGGAAGTATGACATTCGAATAGTTATTCATGAATGTCAAAGATCATGTTGATATAAGAAGAAAATTGAAACAAAGAAAATAATCATGCAGAGATTTAAATTAAAAAAATATTATTACTTTTCTATGTTTACTTTGAATAAATAATTCACGGCAACGACAAATACAAACGCTTTTATTATACAAATGAAATACATATCAAAAAGACGTCTTAGTCTAAATTTTATGGATGTCTAATAGTGCATCTACGTCCAGTAATATTTTTTCATATTTTTCTGCTTTGAGAACCCAAATTAATGTGATTAAGATTTGCTTGAAGTGAAGTGAAAAAAAATTTGCACAAGTTTCAAAATTTTAACACGTCAAAATAAGACTTATAACGCAATTAATTCTATGCATCTTATAAAATTTTCCTGTTAATGTTGATTTACTTCAGTCCAAAATCTTACAACTGATGCAAACAACTTCGTGATAGCAGTATAAAAATTATATATCTGAATAAAATCTTCAAAATAACTATATATCCATCTCATTAAGATATCAAGTTGCATCAGAGTCTATATTGCATAAAAGGGGCCCCTCGTCCAAGTGGGCCAACCTCTTCGCCCTCGACTCCGGCCCATAGGCACGTGTTTATTTCTTTTTTGAACTTGTACAGGCATGTGATTTAGCATTAAACATAGCCAGAAATAAACTATTAGAACTATGAAAAAAATCTTTAAGTAACAATTTAATACCTCTAAGGACATATTTTTTTGTCAATGATGAATGTAAAAAGCAAGAAAAAGAAAAAAATGCACAATAGAATTGATCATTAAAGTGTATAATTATTATGCACATTTATTATTTCTTATCTATTTACCTGTCTCAAATTCTACATCATCTCATCGAATTTAAAATATATGATGACTGAACGCGATTTCTCACATGATTGGTCTATACAGACTTCACGTGCAATGTAACCGAACTATATCTCATAATGTCCAAAATCTAGTTGTCACATCTCTATGTCTATCACGCTACCCTAGTATAAGAAATCATTGGAACATCAAAAAAGTAAGTAAATAGTATTCAGTATGAAATCACATGATAATCAATTGAAAGAGAAATAAAAATGTTATCATTCTCATAATTGAGCACATTATGTAGCCTATGAGAAGAAACTCTAGTTTCAAAAGAGCCCTTTCAAATTATGTCGCTAATCTTACAGATCGACTTTTATATGTGGGAAATCATCGACTAATCAATGTAATTTATGTGATATTCAAATAGTACATGTTGATTTGATTGTTCTGCATCTTGAACAAAATAAAAATCTATAATCATTATCCAATTAAGCTAAATTGGTTATGTCACTTGTGAGGTGGAGAGTTTATGACATCCTAGACATATTGATTAATGTATCATAATCAAATATGATCCCATGAGTCTAAGTGATCACAAAGTCATCACAAATAGATCGATAATTATCTACATTTTGTATTATCTCCAAAACCATAATTTCTAGTAATAGGGGTAATGATGTTGCATACGGGACGATATACATCCCATAACACACGTGACAATAAAAAATCTATAGAGCTCTAAAGTGTAAAACCAATTACAAAGCATAATGTTTTGATTCCAGTTTTACGCTTTTTCAACCATGAATATTCAGTACAAAATAGTCACGTGCCAAAGTACTCTGCATTCTGACCTCCCTCTGTCTCTTACCCAGCAGACTCGTTACTTACTTCGATGAGATGAGAAGCACGAAGATAAGATCATTGCAGCCGGTCTCAACCTTATCGGTAAAATAAAATAAGCTATTTTCTTCCCTTATACACACCAACAGTGGCGTTTTACCATCATTTATAAAGAGTCTCTGCAAAGTAAGGAAAACATCTATCTGCAATAAATCTCACATGTCAACCAGCATCTCCTTCTCTCCTGTCCTCTTGGGGTTACTTAAATTTGTCCAGTCGTCGAGAAATCACAGAGAGCAGAATAATTTAATCGACGCCTATTGAAAGACCCCTCGGATCCTGAAGGGGATAGCAAGGAGGACGTACACAGGTCGTAAAAAAACGTGGAAGTTGTGCGAAATCCAAAACCCTCCGTAGAACCCTCCTGCAGAACGCAGCGGGTCAGGCCGGTGACAGAAAAAGGAAGCGAGTCAGTAGAAGTAAAAGGGAAACCTAGGAAACCGAAAGAGAAGGTCGGTGCGTGGGAGGAGTGCGCGGTGTGGTGTGGATGAGTCTGAAGGCGGTCGGTCCGTGCGCCCTCCCTCCCTGCGCATGGAGGGAGGGCTGGGCAGTGTCCGTCCTCGGAGCAAAACGAGGAATGGAACAGAGCATCCAGAGGGAATCTGCTCGCTCCGCTTCCCGAGGACCTGAAGCCGAAGGCATCTTCTGGGAGGAGGGTCGAGGGTTGAGGTGAGGGGAGGGGAGGGGAGGGGAGGTCCAGGGCACGCAGACATTGATTGACATAGAAGAAGCGAAAGTGGTTGTGCTCAAAGTCAGTGTCCCATTTTTTCTCGAGAAAGTGTCAAGGCGCGCACGCGCGGGCGAGAGGAGAGGTCGTGTGCAAGATGGCTATGGCCACCACTGCAGCTGCCCCCTCGTTGGGATGCAGCCGGGACGTGTCGTTCGGAACCGCAATGCGCGGACAGGCCGTTCCGCTGGAGCTGTCCAAGTGCCGAGTCGGCTCGCAGTTGAGGATTGCGTGTCACTCGTCGACTGTCAGGGCCTGTGCATCTGCTGGTACCACCACATTGAAACAGACTCGGGCGACTCCAGGTATATCTCAACCTGGAGAGCCTGGAAATTTGTGACAACTAAGAATTGCTCAGGACGGGGAGGACACTTTCGTGTCAGCGGATTTTACCACATTACAATGATTTTTTCCTGGGCTTTCTTGTTGTGGTTAATGCGGGAGATTCAGGTGACATTTCATTTCCGCGGCTTGATCTTGGATCCAGGCTTCACTCACATTGCAATGTGTTTTGGACTTGTTAAGCTCTAATTTCAAAATTGGTGTCTCAGGTGAGAAACAGAATGTGGACCGGCAAACTTGCCGACTGGCTCTTCCTAGCAAGGGTCGGATGGCTGAGGGGACCCTGAGTTTGCTCAAGGCAAGTGTCTGTACTTTTCACTTGGATTTTGTGCCACAAGTTTCTTCATCAATCATGGTCAGATTTTACGTGTTGAATTGGAGAATACTGTTTGAAGTTCGCAACATCACAATGTTGAGTACAATTCCTGAAATTATGGGACGTCCTTTGTTTGTGCAGGATTGCTCTCTTCCCGTCCGTAAGCTCAATCCACGACAGTACATTGCGGACATTCCAGGGGTTAGTGTTCTAGATAACTCCAGCTAACTTGTATGCTACAATTATATCTGTGTAGGATGTTTGAAACCTCCAAGTCAGGGCAAACTTGGTTATGATACAGTTTTCCCGCTACAATACGAAGTATTGCATCATCATATAGGTTGGAATTTACTTTGGATTCTCAAACCCGTTGTAATTGATTCATCAACGACGCCACATTTTGTATGCAGTTGAAGGATTTAGAGGTGTGGTTCCAACGTGAGTCGGATGTTGTTCGTAAATTGCGGTCTGGAGACGTGGACATGGGTATCGTCGGCTACGATGTCGTTGCTGAGTTCGGTGAGGTGGGTAATTATACCACACGCACAATAACTATAATAATAATGTGTTCATCAATTTCTCTTGAAAAATATGTGTTTTTTCTCTGCACTCGAGGTCAAGAACCAAGACGGTTCGTTTAATTTCTGATTGGGAATCTGTTTTTGAAGCTGATTGTATTTATGTCGGATCACGCCATTTGACTTCATTTTTATTTAATTTTACAGGACGATCCAGACCTTATCCTGATTCACGATGCACTCCAATTTGGCGAATGCCATCTAGGAGTTGCGGTAAGTTGTTTAGGGAATGATTGAGTTGTTTAAAGAGTGATTGAGATGCTTCTTGTACTCGGACTTTACCGGTGCGTGCTCGCTGTTTTTTCTATTCAAGCATCAACTGAGGATTGACGTGAGCTGTATCTCTGTATCGACTAATGTCTGCAGGTCCCAACTTACGGTATTTTTGAGTCTATCAACACGTTATCGCAATTAGCAGCTATGCCACAGTGGACAAGTGAAAGACCACTTCGCATTGTGACAGGATTCACATATGTAGGTCCATATTCGCCCCCCTTAGTGTACAGAAATATACATCAGCTTTGTTTCGTCGCTGGTGTAGCTGCAGGTAGTTTTCTGCAGGTAGTTTTCGATGATGCAAGAACGTTGAAACCTCGCAAAACCATCAGTCCGTGAATGTCATGTGTACAGATTCATCTATGGACATGATGACCACAAGATGTTTCTTCTGGATGAGTTATTTTTTAAAAGCCTTCAATTGTATGTTTGGCAATACAGCTGGGAAGCAAGTTTTTGAGGGAGAAGGGATTGCATCATGTGGAACTTTCTACTGCAGATGGAGCATTGGAAGCAGGACCGGCGGTAAGTTCTCCCAAAACTCCTCATGAAAAGAAATGAATATCTTTCCAAAACTTTCATGTTTCTTATGATGGTATCTTCCCTTGTAAAAAAGTTGTGAGTGAAGTTCCAAACGCCATGTACGTTGTATAGAGGCAGTTTCGTTGTAGCAAGAGCGAAATATTGATAGCTGGCTCTCTGCAGATGGGCACAGCAGACGCCATTCTTGACCTTGTAAGTAGCGGAACTACGCTGCGGGAAAACAATTTGAAAGAGTTGGAAGGAGGAAAAGTGATCTCGAGCCAGGTACTTGTTTCCAATCATAAAACTGTTTGTGTGATTTAGAAGTATTGAACTACTAATAGGATACTGTTATAGTTTGCTCGTGGATGTTGTTTGAATTGAACTATACGAATACTTCATAGTGAAGTACAACAGCTGGAGATGAAGGTTGCGAAGATGTCAAGGGTGTTACGTGATTCTGATCTAGTTTGTCCACGATTCAAAAAGTTTGAATGGATGTATGGAATTTATTGACTAACACAGTATCAAGACGACTAGAAGTATAACCTTAACTCATATGTACGCGCCTGTCACTGATATGACTGATGCCTAATAACCTTTTAGCCCTGGCTATGCCGGGCTAATACTTCCAATTCCAAATGTTGGAAACGATCCTGCAACTACTGAGTCCTTGTCTATTTCAGGGTGTTTTTGTAGCTAGCAAAAAAGCTTTGATGAACAGACCAGGTGTATTAGAATCTGCTCATGAACTTCTCGAGCGTTTCGAAGCTCATCTCCGAGCGCGTGGTCAATTTTCTGTAAGCTGCAACAGAAAGCTCCATTTGTTTTCTGTAAGATTCTCTGTTCAGCTGTTTTGTGTATTAGTTGCATGAACTTAGTACGTATGTTACAAGGCGCAATATGTCAGGTTACTGGAAGGCCGATCATGTTTGTTGAAAATATCTGGAGACTAATCCGTGGGGGATTGTTTCTACCAGGTGGTTGCTAACATGCGAGGCAATTCAGCGGATGAGGTCGCCCACAATTTGTTGAAGATGACAAGTCTTCATGGTCTTCAAGTACGCTAATTCGGATACGAACGTACAGAAACGTGGTTTGTGTGTGTGTGTGAAGTAGTTACAGTTCTTGTTGAAGTGCTCATTGGGTTTTGTGAAAGAACGACTGAGTTAATTACTTCACTCTTGTCTCTGTGTTTTACAGGGACCTACGATCAGTCCGGTGTATTCTAATTCAACTGGTGAAGCAAGGGTAGAGTACTATGCTATTGTAATCTGCGTGGCAAAACCTGACATTTTCAAGGCCGTTCGTGAACTCAGAAGCGTACGTCTCATTCTGACCGAGAAGTGTCTCTCCCGAAGAGCATGTTCTCTTGAAACCATGTATCGTGTATTGATTCGAACTGTTTTAAATTGATGTGGGCGACATATTTGTTTTTTTGAAGCCATGGCCTTTATTAGGGATCATCTCATTCGTTATGATATGTAGTGCCTTTAATGACTTTAATAAGATGGGGTATTGGGAAAGCTTAAAATCGGAGAAAAATTAGAATGGATGAGTTAACCAAATATACTCTAGCCTTAGCCTCTCTGATTCAAATGTCCTATTCATTGACAGCAGAGGGTCACAAGTACTGATCACTCGGTTGCTGGGATGTCCACAGGCTGGAGGGAGCGGAGTGCTCGTATCACCGTTGACTTACATTTTTGATGAGGAGCCAGTAAGATGGCGCAAACTATTAGATACCCTAGGGCGATGATACCCTCTAAAGCGAATACAGCAAGTTAGAGAAGCTATTTTCGGCCTGTTTTGTGACTTTTAACTGCTCCTAAGGTACCAGCCATTATTTGACTCTAGGGGCATGAGTAGTTGTCAAAGATGGTCACCACTGTTCATCTGGTGTCCATCAATCGCCCAGGTTCTTAGATACTCCATTTTTTGTTCTTGTAAAGCTAGTTCAACCTGAGAATTGAAATTATTTAAACCTTTCCACCTCCGAAGAGGCTACATACAGGTCACGGCTAGCAGATGTGCATGCTGGAGTTGGCAAGCATAGTAAGTTACTCATGGCTTATAATTTAGGACTAGAGTGCTACGTTGGGGGAGGAAGTTTTGTGTGAGGAATTTATATTGCGTTTAAGCACTCCATGTGCTGAATCTAATCAACATGTCGTTAGCCATGTCGTTTTGTAACAGGGCTGTGTAACGGGGTTGTCTGGCACACAACACCGTCTTAGGAATGAGCAAACAGTAGTTTCCATTTTGGAGCTGTATGTGATCCTTCGAAGTTATTGTCGACTGTAGAATTCTCTTTGGTGAGCCCATCCTGCTTAACTACAGAGATATGTATTGATGGGGAAAAACAGAGGAGAACAAAGTAAACGACTTTGACAAAAATCGATCTGTACAATCCAATTCTACATTTTCGGCACATTCTATATTTAGGAAAGAAATATGTTTGAAGTGGTCTAAAGGCAATTGAAGTTTGTACTATGTTCCGACACTGTTCAAGATATACTTTACCAGCGATTCACTCTCACGGACAGTACAGACGCCGATATGTTACCCGCGCAAACCTCTCGATGGTGTGGAGCGTCTCGGGGGCTCTAAAGCCAAGCAGTTCTGCACCTTTCATTGCAGTGGATCAAATTCACAACGCTGAGAATTTGTTAAGTTAATGCCCCAACCGATTCGGTGCTGATAAGCTCCCACTGATTGCAGTGCCTTTTTCAGTGTAATAAGTCTTCATATGTAGCCAATTCAAAAAAAGATCAACAAGAAATTTCACGAAATTCGAAGTTTTGAAAGAAATTTGAAAGATTTCTTTTCCGATCTGAACTTAACTTGTAAGTACACTGAATACTGCAAAAAAATTTACAGATAATACTTGAACGTATTTCCTCGGTGTAACAACTCAATTTCCAGTTTCTTTGTGTTTGTGACAGTGTACTGTTGTGGCTGAGAACCTGAGGAAATTAGGATGAAAATTTATGATGATGATTTTCCCCAACTTCTTTCCTTGCATGTCTAGCTTCTACCGTGGTTCCAAATTAGCAAGTAGATAAAGAGGCTATGATTGTTAGGGTTTCCATGGTTATTATTTCTTTCTGAGGAGAGCAGTTTCAGTGTGCTTCATTTTTGTAGGTAGGTGTGTTATGCACTTATCACTCCCTTTGTGCAACTATAGTTTCATTTTCCCCGTAATTGCCAATTTTGCAAAAGACATGAATATTTTGTTAGGCGGTTATACTCTTCCACCGGACACACTACCTTCTCTAATTGCAAGTAAACCCTCTAGGGCTATCTCAAATCCAAAGAAGCCATTTGAATCAGATATTTTGGAAATCTCTACTATCATGAGAAATTCCTGCTATCATAACACAGGATTCCCGGATCTAGTTTACTTCTTTTGAATTTTCAACTTTTTACATCTCTTCCCTTCTCATGTATGTAAATGTAATTCCGGTATAGGGAAAACCCTATATGTAGATTGTGTCAATACTTAAAATAACGGAAAAGCTATCTACGTTGTATGATCCATACATAACTAATATGAGTGACAGACAACTACAAGTATCCCAATATTTAGTGGTGGATTTGAGAAAGATTGACTAATCACAAAGACCCACATGCAAATCCTACCACTAAATACGGGTCATATGTGCTCGTCGCCCACTCAGAAATGTATTGTATGGTATTCAATACAGTAAGATGGGTCGTCTGAACAAGTATGTAAACCCTAAACCTCTACAGAGTTAAACCTCCCGATAGTGTCACCTCTTGACATGAAAATGAAGGGTAATTTTATCCAATAATAACTATACGTCACTATTGTTAATAGTGTATCAAAATTTTCAAAAATGACTATGTTGAGCTTTAATAGCTATCATAATTACTAAAAGTATTTGTTCAGAGTTAAAAGTATCCTTTCAGAGGTTGCTGATTGGTCCATGCCGATTCTTCTTAGCGGTTACAATATTCTCAGACCTTGAATCCGTGTCACTGATCAAATGATGTGGGCGAAGAGATCGACCATATCAGACGTATGTCTTTGCTCACTCGTTGCAATTTGGTTGTGCGATGTTTAAACCCTTGTGGGAAGAGTGCTGGAAGGACATTGAGACAAATCGAGTGGAAAGAAGAACAGGTCGGATCTGCCAGTGGGATATTTTCAAGCCTTTTCAAGCTGGTCAGGATGGAGCCAAATCCATGAGGGGGAAAACAAGTCGAAAGAATAGATGGCGCACATAAAGTAGAGATAAATAAACCGAGTCTCCAATGCTGGAGTTGCGCTTGTAACTACAGAGTAATTACTGTAAGGAGGACGATCATGACTTGTGCTGAAGACAGAGATCGAGTATTTGTCGATGGAAAGTTTTTCTGAGTTTCTGTTGTCACATCAGACTGAAACAATCCAGTCTGAGAAGTTCTTTTGCGACCGAAGAAGGCAAGGCATTTACTATCAGATTATGCCAACGATGGCAGAAAAGCCGAAATCTATCATGGTAACAGCGTTCGTGTGAATCCACGATCCTTTTTCATGGCTTCGCAATATTTGTCGATGGGAACTTCTTTTGAGTTTCTGTTGTCACATTACACTGAAAAATTCCAATGGAGAAGATCTTCTGCGACCGAAGAAGTCAAGGCCTTTTCTGCCCAAAGCGGCAGAAAGGCCTTCACTTTTCAGAGTCCCATATCAATCCGAGCTTCCCTTCCCGAGAGAGAAGCCCCACCGATTGCAAATAACGCGGGAAAAAATTAGATATCCTCTTGTGAGTGACACCTCCGAATAGTGACATAAAACCCTAGAACGGTCATGTGTCACTATTGGGAGGTTTAACTCTGTAGCACTAAACAGAAAGTCGCAATTGAAGACCGTCTAACAGTAGGATCATCCTTACTCTTGCAAATGCAGTCACTACGAGCCTTCGTAATCAATTCTTAGCAGAGATGTTGAGGATTTCTTGCCTGTGTAACGAAGGTTGTTTATAGGACCTCCTGTATTGTTGCTGGTATCCCCAACGGGGATCCATTGGATCTACACCGGGGCATTGATGCCCGCTTGATCCATTTCTCTTCTGGTTTGCGCTCCCTTCATTGAGCTAGTTGGTGCGAAGACTGGAAATCATCCCTCTAGCCCTCCCGTGCTTGCTTCTGTGGCAATCCTTGAGCCCCACTAGCTCCGCTGTTTCGTGAGTTGAGGAGAAAAGAGCTGGACGTTTCTTTCCCCATTTTTTCTACTTCCGTCACTTGCCTTATGTCTCCTGCATCTCGATGCTTTTGATTGTGATTTTCCGTCATCTGCTAAGGGCAGTCGTTTCCTCACTTCTGCTCTACAGCTCCCTCCTTTCTTCCTCCTCCTGCCGCTCTTTAGAGCATTTAATTCAGTCATTCCAGCTGTAGGCTTTTGCAGTCCGTGGGGATCAACAACTTTTACTTGAGTAAGCTCACACATGATCACAAAATAAAGTCTCCAATATCTACAGTACAAAATTAGTCAAGCTGCAACAATGAAGATGTGTTCTTCCTGCAAAACCTGATACCCAGTCTCCTCATTCACGCAGCCTTGCAAATAGTCAACCTGCCATCGGACGGTTATCACTACACTCTTGCAAGTCATAGACTTGAAACACAGTGTCCTCTTCGAATCTTGGAGATCAGCTCAATTCGAGATTCCCGAAGGACCTTGAACTGCATGATAAATCCCGGTGACCGTCGACACTGATATACGAGTAGCGAACACTTGAGTGAAACAAGTTGCTGTAATTGAAGTCGTGATTTGCTGTACGCGACCTCACGATACAAGGTCCGGTTAACGCCCTTGAATTGCATGGCTCGGCGTAGTCTTCGATTGGAGGCTGAAAATCACATTGGTGTCCTTGAGCTTTGAGAGAGTTCTGAGTGTTGAGAGCTCGTCCGCCTCCGGCTGATATCGTGGTAGAATTTTAACAAATTCTAAGGCCGAATTGTGTCCTGGGTGTCTTCAAAACTCGCATACTTCGGGATTCCAGAGCTCTACTGCGAAACAAAGAATTTCTGCTACAGAGAACTGGATGACAAATTTCCGTGACAGGTTGCTAACGCCGACACGAGATTGTAACAGTTGCATTGCGGTTCGAACTGAGTCTATACCGCGAGATTTCAATGCTGTGGACACAGCACCGAATTTCGCTGTCCTGCGTGCTTCCAACGCATAACAGGCAAAGGAGCCGTCGGATAAGCTTGAAGGAATTTGCAGTCCAAAAGAGTTTTGTGAGCAGGTATTGAGGAAATTGTGACCAATTCTGTGATAATAAAATAGTGCATGTAGTCAGATTGGAGAGCCGTTCCACGCAATCTTCGAGTACCCATGCTGATGCATCTTCCAACCTCCACTTTCCTGCGTCTGACTAGGGTAGAATGAAATGAGTTGTGAGGAGAACAACTGCACACCGATTTTTAGGATTTCAGCAATTAAATAGCCCCGGATCAGAAATCTACTCGGGCAGCCTTGCATCTAGCCTTCAAGTGCGAATCGAGGAAGAAAAGGTGTTCACATTCTGAATCCCCGCACAATGCAGCATTCATGCCGGAAGTTAATCCAAAACATTAAGGCAAGCTCTGGAAATCCACGTCACTGGCAAGGGTAGACGGCATTTGATTAAGATCCACCATAATGCCCTGCACGAGGATCTGAATCTAATTGAGCAGAACCGTGATCTCACCCGAAGAGCAAAATGGCCGATAAAGATCCGTTCAAGGCCTCAGACTCGTACCAGCAAAATACCTTGTCTCGGAGGGAACTTATCGAAAAGTCTCATGAAGCGGCCAGGATCATGGGGGAAATGCTGGGGCAAGAAGGCCAGTTCCACGCTGCAGGAGCCGCCTATGGACAGCATTCGGCGTTGCCCCTGCCCAAAACAGACGAAAAACCTCAGGAGATCAAATTCTTCCTGAGGAATAAGAAAACAGCGGCCCCGGAAGCAGCCCCAGAACCGCCCCAACCTGCTGCTGCTGTCGAGCAGACAGATTATGACCTAGGGGATCAAGAAGCAGATGTTCCTTTCGATGATGGATACGGTGGGTACTATGGGTCTGACTGGGAGAATTCCGCCTACCCCGAGGTGGAGCAAGAGGAATTGATAACTGACATTCTTCAGCAAAGACTCGCATTTCTGTACATGGCTTTCCAGCCCCCTGAACCCGTAGAAGGCCCGGCAGATACTCTGTTCATCGTCAGCAAGTTCAAAGGTTCAGGAGAAAACGATCGAGCTCTCGTTCGAGCTCACTCACAAGTTCTCCAAAGATACAACGATGCTTTCAATGAGTTGATCGGCTATCGGCGCCCCGTCGTTCCGGATCCAGACGAGGGCGAAGCGGAAGATTTCGAAATGACCATCGTTCGGGACGAACCTGCAGAGAGAAGGGGCTCTGCATTCGAGATGATCCAGAATCTGGGCCAAGAGCGGCAGGAGAAATGGGGCAAAGCTGTGACAGAATTCGAAGAGCAAAATCAAGGAGAGGAGCAACAACTGGAGAATGAATGGGGAAAACCTGACGCCTATCTGCCTCAGGCCGACGAGGAACCTGCACAGGAACCCAGTTACGGTGCAAGAGGGAGTGTCTACTTCAAGGAGGACGAATTTCTACAAGGCAAGCGAGCAAGGCAGAGCGTGACCTTTGCGGAGCCGCCGGCCAGGAGGCCGAGCCAAGCCTTCACGGCCGACGGGCTGATGGATTTGGGGCTAGAGAGTGTCATCGGCAACTTGCAAGACTCTCATAAACCCTTGCTGGTGAAAGAATTCCTGGACGCCAGCGAGAATCTCGTCAAGCTTCCCGGATGGGAACACTTACCTCCCGATGTCAAGCAGTCGTTCGAGAAGTTTGCCGTGTCGGTGGGAAAATTCAGGAATCCAGCTGCCGATGAAGCGGCGAAGGCGGTGGAGCTCGAGTACAGCACGCTGGACGGAGGCGGAGGGCTGGAGAGCAATTTCTTGGGAATGGTCGGAAGGCGACAGAGCAAGCAAATGGCCGGCATTCTGAACAGCATCTCGCAGGGCGTGGCCGAGAGGAAGAAGAGCACCATGATGATCGCTCAAGCCAAGAGCGACGAGATCCTGGGCACGGGCAAGGACGTGTCGGCGACGGCGCCTCGCACCGAGCTCGAGCGCAGGAAGAGCGCGGCGTACCTCGAGAATCAGGAGAAGCGCAAGAGCATCGCGGCCCTCGAGCCCCGCAAGAGCATTGCGCTGATCGCTACTCAGGACCGGCGCATCAGCCCCAGCTTCCTCGAGCGGCGCCAAAGCAAGGCGCTACTGGCGACAGCGCGGCGCGAGAGCGCCAAGTTCGAGGCCGACGATCTGCAGGCCCGGCGCCGCACAAGCCATGCCGCCGTGGCCGCATTCGAGCGCCGGAAACGCATGTCGGTGCTGGAGAACGCGAGCACGGCCGAGCTGAAATGCGGCCCGGGCTTCGACGGCGGCTGGAGCGGCAGCCAGAAGGTTCTCCCGGCGGCGAAGGACGCCGGCGCCATCAGCGCCGGCAGCCTCGGGCTCGTATCCGGCACCTCCGAAGTGGCCACCGAAGGGACCGACGCTCGCGCCCGCCGCATCGGCTCGGTGGTTCTCGACGGCGCGGCGCGACGGCGGAGCAGCGTCGGGTTCCTCGAGCGCAAGGGGAGCAAGGCGCTGCTGGAAATGAAGGACAAGGAGCGCGAGCGCCGGGCGTCGGAAAACGCCCCTCGCCCGCCGGAGCGGCGCCCGAGCCGGCCACCACCGCTGACGAGCAGCCGCGAGCAGGACCGGCCGTCCATCGTTAAGTTCTACGAGGACGAGGACGAGGACATATACGCCACGTCGTCCTCGTCCAGCGCGGAGCCCGAGCCCCCGCCGCCGCTGCCCGCAGACGTGCAATACGTCATCGAGAAGCGGCACTGGACGCCGGATATTCTGCACGCCATTCTGGAGTTCATCTACACGGAAGTCGTACACCTGCACTGCGAAGAGCTGCCGGACGTGTACGCCGCCGCCAACGAGATTCTTCTGTCCAGCCTCACGGACGCCATCCGGCTCCGGCCCGTCATCCAGTACTTCCGGCTCGCCGCGGTGAACGAGTACAACCGCGTCGCGCTTCTCAACCTCGCCAAGCAGCTCACCTCGGAGGCCGACTTCAACAACTACGTCAACAAGAACGCCGACTTCCACGACCTGAAGCGGCTCTGCGAGGCCTTCAGTCACGACGGCCCCGTAGAGCAGCGGCCGTACACGCTACTCTTCGAAACTGCGCACGTCGCTTTCCGGGATCTGCCGCACGTGACCCCGGGCCTCCACGACATCAACGGACACATGGTCGGTCCTTCTCCCCTCCACTCGTTGTTGTCCGGCGGTCCGTCGCATGCCCCGTGCGCTCTGTCGGCTCTCAGTCCTCGATTCAGACTTCTGAATTCCATCGATGGATTTGCGTCTTGTGGTGTGCTCGGGCAGTAGACTTCTGTCTGTCTGTCTGTCAGCTGAGGGCTCGATCAATTCGGCCAAGAGGACGAGCCTCTTGGCCATCGCTAGTTCGTTCGTTGATTGCATGTGTCCTGCAGCTCGCTGATTTCGTTGGCTTGTCGTGATCAGGTGCTTATTTTGAAGAATCCTCGAGAAGGCACGAGATTGTTCGAGCAGCATCAGGAGCAGGATGAGTATCTCACTTTCAGGAAGAAACTTTCGGACCGGAGAAACGAGAAGCCCCTCGTGCCACTAGACTGGCTGGGACAATGGCCTCCGCTGGAAAAGACGAGGAACCGTGACAAGGCTTGGAAAGTTATTTTCTTCAATTTCCCGGATCTCCAGCGAGATATTCCTCTGAAGAACTACGGCTTTTACAAGCACGTCAGCGCAATCACTTGTCGCCCTTGGGCACCGGAGGTGTTCAGTCTCAGAATGGTGGTGGGACTTCTCATCTGCCCCGTCCTGTACGATGCGTTGAAGAAAACCTTTCCAGAGCTCGATATCAAGGCTTCCAGAGGTGCTGGATACTACATGGGAGGCGAGACTCATGGCAACAGCATCACTCTCACTGGCCAGCCCATCTTCTTGCTTCAAGCGTGCATGGCGTGCCCACGCCATATGATCGGACGCACGGTTTTAAGAGTGTCATCCCCTTCAGAACGAACGTTTTTGAAACTTTGGACATCCACAAATCGCTTCGGTGTGGATCTAGAGACTAATGTTCTCTACTTCCTCAAGCCTATAATTCAGATCCAAAAAATGCTGGAGTTCTGGTTTGGCCTCGATACGAACGCTTGCTTCGATGTCCTCACGTCTCGCGAAATGGTTGAACTTGTGGAACCACACGACCCATTTTAAATTCCCAAAAACACAAGGTGCCGATGCAGTCTTCTTATATGGTACGGTACCTTACGATGCAAATGATGACTCGGGAGTACCTCTCTGGGCATGCGACTGCAATGTGGGATGCAACGAAGAAGACCAAGAGACACGAGAAACCCCCACCGTGGCCTGGAGGTTCGAGGAAAACATCGAAGAGGACAATTCTTCCAATGGCCGCCTCTGGAGATTACTTCACGATCTCATCTGCTCACCTGGCCGGCAAGTCGACATGCCTGCAACTTACCACGAATTGTTCAGTCAACGCCGGACGAGTCAGATTATGATGCACCAGACTCGTTCTCCATTGAAGCTCCGATTGCACGCACAGGGAGATCGTGGAAGTAAGACTCAAGTGGTTCACGTCATCACAGCTTAATCTCTTCAATTCGAGTACGCACACAGTTCGTGAACCTGAGCCGAGCTTCAATGGCTTGTGACTCGATGTGCAAAGCTCTGGGAAGGCTTTGTTGTGAGGTCATGTGCAGCTGGCAGGGATTAGCCACTTGACTGTGGACGTGAATAAGCTGAGCAGTAAATAATACTGGTCGAAATTGGCACGCCCTAAAATATTATTTGTGTAACCATCACGAACTTCATTTTCGTTACCGCTGCATTCTGGAGTCGGCTGCGTGTGGACACGTCACTTCGTGCTTTGGTCAAGGACTCAGCCACTGGTATCTGCTTGATACCGGGCTTGTACTATATATGCGCAGGTAAAGGGCGTGGTTCTCAGATGAAGACTTCACATCCTTTCCTGCAGCTCAAGAAGCATTGTTCAATTCGATTACGCTCACAGAAAAGAATATCTCGCCGGCATGCCTCGTCTTCTGGTGGGGAACTGTAGTAAATTGACACTTGCGGATTTCACTTCGGAGAATGTCTGCAAATACCCAGAGAAGATTTGATGACGGTAAATGCATGCGTCCATAAACCAAGACTAGTGGAATTTAACCAGGAGTCCATTTAAACCTTTGACACCCCTGAGGAATTCAAACGTCCCTGCGAACCCGCAGATGCTGAAGCTTGGTGGGAAACAAACAACGCTTAGTCAGGGTGTAAGCATGACGTTTTCCTACGCTTCAGATGCCCGGGCTAGGAGTTTTGATCTACACTTCTGCTGTCTGGCCTCAGATTCCGTGTGTACATCGCGAGTTTCAACCCAGAGCGGTAACAACACCCACTGAAGGCTTCCATCTTCCTGCTCTGAGAGTGCCTTGCACCGGTGCTGCTGTAGAGGTCGCGAAGAAAATCGACCATGTATCGTGAGTTTTGACCCTCTCATGATGCGTAAGCTTGCCATGGGACTTGGCTTTGACTCATTTATACAGATGAGTGCTTTGTTCCGACAAAATCGTAGCAGACGAGTGAAAGAAGGAAAGATTGGTACAATGCTACTCCAGATCGGAAATATTAGAGTTAAATTTATTGTTGCGTCGTCACTGGAGCTAATAAACAGGAGTTAATACAGCCTTCAAACTCAAGAAACTTTTTGTGAACTCGAGTAAATAATGGGGCTTTCATAGATATACATAATTCTAAGGCTAGATTCGAGATTACAGAAAGACTACAAAATTCTGGATTAACCATTCCTGAAGTAAACGGCTTCTTCCTCCGACTCGGCTGCTCTACACCGACTCTTCCTCCTTACCAGATGTGTCCTAGCATATCTGTCACGAAAAGCGAACCTCTGAACTCTACTGTGAAGCCTTCCTTCATAACATCGTTGACTGGCCAAGTCAAGGAGTCAAGAAGCATGCGCTTCGACCAACAGATTTCCATAAACTGCGACTGGTGTTGAACTCAAATGGGGAGGGAAACTCCTAAAACTTTCCTACTTTTCATTCTACGAATGTGACAATGCTGTAAGATATTCGGCTGTTTGCTACAAGCCAATCCATAACTTTAGACCCCTCTAGCAACTCTGCTGCCTGCATCAACAAGTCCCAGCAATGTGCTATCAGCTTCAAAACACCAACAAAAGCTACAGCCGCTATGAATTTAAGCAATGATTGACCTGAGCTTGTGGTACAAGCTGCTCAGTCTCATAGCTCGTGAATCTTTAGATGCATTGGTTTCCTTATACGATCCACACATATTCTTCAATGCTTGAGGATATTAAACGGAACGCGAGATCTTACCTGCTCCTTTACCCTCTTCTCATCATATTCCTGGTTGTAACGTTTGAACTCTTCAATTGCGGTCTCTATTTCCGCATTCAGCTCCTCTTCAGTATACTGAGCAAAGGGCACATAACCACGTTCAGTTGTCAATACACCAAAGTCACTACCAACTGTACTTCTTGAGGTCCAGTCATGATACATGGTCAGAAAGGACCAACCTGAAGATTTTCCAGCTTGTAAATTTCTGCGACCGCCAACGTCTGCTTGACGCTGTCCATTATCTTTTCTTTTTGTGCTTGAAGATAGTTGGTCACCATCTCTTGACTGGATAGTTGGACAACTTGCTCTTTGGTCAACTTGGCCTGAGCCTGAGGAAAACCCACCCGTTCGTAAATTTCATGATACATCTTCCCCCTTTTGTAAAAATCTGTAGTAGATCTGAAACATAAGTAGATAAGAGCAACAATTCACAAATATCTCACCTGAAGCTCAATCAGTTTCGCAGCATACATTTGACGCCCTTGTTCCTCCAGCAGAGAGTTGGGTACATCGAGGACGACGACCTGAGCATGTTAAAAAACCCTGTCAGCGTGCTTAGGGAATGGATCCAACTATACAATAAGCTTGCGAAATCACTAAACGCGTATATTACGACCCGTTTAGTCCTACCAAGTGACAGTAAACTGGTAAATTGTTACCTTCGACAATTCTGCGGCAATTGCCAACTGCGTAGCCTGCTTTTTGGCTTGCACCTGGATTACTTCATGCTTGTTCTGCAGCTCGATTCTAACCTGATGATAGCAGATGGAATGTTGTTACATTAGTACCTTTCTTATGCGCACTAACTACACAATACACTGCGCAGACCTAGGAGCTTCCAAAAGCAGAAATACTCAAACCATATCTGACAAAACGGTCTTGCTCTAAATTTCTTGGTTCGACGAACCTGCTGAATAGTAGTACAACCCTCCATCAGCTTAGGGGCGATTGTGTCATCCACTTCTGGAAGACGACGAACAAATATTTCCTTGCAGTACCCCTGTGACAGCAGTCAAGATGCAGCACACTTGGTTAGTGAAAAATCGGCATGTCTAGCAACTGGACAAACACCAGACACAGATAATTGCTCACTAATCTATATTCCGATACCCGGAAGCAGAGAAATTTAAAAAGTAGGAACAATTCTTTAATGTACCGCAGACGACCCTTCAGAGCTACATTGTCCAAGCAGCAGTACATAACGTGTAGCATTCTTCACCAGCTTCAAAATTTAGAGAGATTCATAAAGCTCAGGAAGGTTACTAATTATTGCCCCCACCGTAAATTTAGCATGAATTCCCCTGAGGGACTCTTGTTGCCACGTTTGAGGGAACACCAAATCGAATTCACGTGTCTCTTCACGATTGATACCGATCAGTGCGTCGACAAAACCAGGCAAAAAATTGGCTCCGTCTTCCGTATCAAGTTGAAAGCCTGAACCATTTTCCATATAACTATGGTCAGATGATTGGGGATGACAAGTGTTGACGATCGACAAGCTAAATACCTCGAATATGTTTACAATAAGGCTTTCAAGAAACTTGAGCACATGAAGCCAACGTGATTCGCTTGCCTTTCTGTTCGGCAGATAGAACCTTATCTCCCAGAGAACCATCAGCGTTGATTCGATTGCAACTGATGTCAATAATTGCAACGTCACACATCTGAATCCAGAACAATTCGGAGACGCTCTTCAGTCTTTCTAGATTCAGATATCAATACTAGCCTTTGAGCCATGTACATGAGTAAAATTTAGAGAAAAGCACGAGCAAAATTCAAGAACGAATTCAAAACCTTGCAGATATTTTATGGAAGACTTATGATCATAGTCAGCTTGTATAAGCAGGCAACATTCGTTTTGAAATATACCTCCAAGCCTCCAGTCTCTTTCACTCGGAGAGAACCCAGGTCCTTCAGTCGGGACCTGAATTCTGCAGCTGCCGCTTGGCCAGGGGTAAGGTCATTCTCGAGATTGACTTCAACTTCCATGTTCCGATATGCCTTCTCCGTAACCCACTTTATTTCTGGAGCAACATCAACTGCCACATCGTAGCTATCCATGTACAACTTTCAGAATGGAATCAACTTTAAAGAGCCCAACCGTGCGCTTCTAACCCAGCAACCAACGACAACAGGGTAGGAGAATAAAGTGACAATTCCAATCTTTGCGGTTCGATCCACGGGCTTGAAAACTCAATGCTATAACGGACAACCCTGAACATACCTAAGAGGACCATCTGGTGAGAAGCCCGCTTCTAGATCTTGAAACTTGCTTACAATGTGCTCTGACTCCTTCAAAGCTCTTCCTGCAACCTGCAGATTTGTATCGAACATTCCTTGTCAGAAATCCATGACAAGCAAACTTCGTTTAGAACGCCAACAAATGAGATGATTTTCATCAAACTGGGGAAAGTTAGAACTCACGGAAGACAAGGCCTCCGGAAGCGTTTTCTTCAGAATGGCCTCCACAGCAGATGACCGCACTTGAGCCGGTCCAATGTAGTTTACCAAAACGTTTTCCGGAATCCTTTTTCCGGGTCGGAATCCAGGCACCTAAAAAGGCAAAAATTATAAGTCGTCTCCTTCAACTCCATTCGAAGAGAAGCATACTTGACCGACAGGCCTCCATGAGGAAACACACGAGACTCAAGAAAACAACGAAACGGTAAAAGTGGCATCCAAAACTAGATAGCACGCAGGGAGCACCTTCGCCTTCTTCGAAAATTCTTTGATAACATCGTTGTAAGCGCTCTTGCAGATGTTTGCGGGAACCGTGATACTGAGCTGCACCTGTGGTACACAACAAAGAACACTTAGAACCATGAACGGGGTTACACACTATGCCCCTGTAATGGAAACTGCACAAATTCCTCGGGAATTACTATGCAAGGCACACACACTCCGGCACATCCAATGACGGTTTTTCAGCGATCTCCAGCTCAATAATCAGTTTCCGCATTTATGCTGCTTAAACCCAGAACCCTTATGAATTAAACGCGTCGAAGGATTAGTGCAGTCTGCACTGTCCAGAAAGTAAAATCCACAAACCAATTGGCCATCCCTGGCAGGTGTATACAAGTGCGCAGCTCCGAGGCAGCAAAGGCAGCCGAGCTTTACAGACAGGGCGAAATTCAGAGCGAGAAAAGAGAATTACTCGACAATTGGGCCGGTCGGTTTCGACAACTTCAAGACCCATGGGAGTGGTGGTGGTGACAGATTCATTGGCCACGGCAACGGTGTTCACGACAAAACCGACGTGCGCCCAGCAACTCGCAGGCCTTCGGGCATTCAATTGCCCATTTCGGTGCGTCAGGGAAAAGCGCCCCTCTCTCCTCGTCCAGCTCTGCTTTCCACAAAATGAGGAAGACAGCACCGGAGCAGCGCTCGCCGCCTTGACGGCAGCTCTGCCTGCCTGCTCGACGAAGACTCGCGGGCAAATGCAGGAGGTGCAGACGACGGCGGACGCCATGGTTCCTCACAGCACGCACGCACGCACGACGCTTCGAAACTCAACCGGACGAGCGAGCGAGCGAGCGAGCGAGCGCACCGCAGAACGGATTCCTCCTCACGCACGGTTCGAGAAAGAGAAAGAGGAAGAAGAAGAAGACGAAGAAGAAGATGACATCGAGCACCGAAGAGCACTGCAATACACACTTGTGCTCAATCTGCTCGACTCGCTCGCACCTCTCCTGGCGCAGGATGGCCTTCAATTATTTTATCCTCGATCCCTTTGGCTCACTCGTTGTCTGATCCACTCTCGGATTCGATCCGGCTCCTGCCTTCCCTTTTCATGAAAGCCGCGCGCCCGTGGTGGGCCCCATGCCTTTTCTCACTGCGAACAAACGACATTCGCTTTCGTCGTACTGTATCACGAAAATGTCTCGAGAAGCCTCAGCGTCCGTGTCCCTTTGGACATAATTGCCATTCCCTTTGTGATCATTGCGTTTCAGAGTTCTTCCTTGCATTTGGTTCTTATCCACTTCCGATCTTCTTTCCTGTACGTTTGGGCCCCCCCCTGCTTGCGCCAGGAATCAGAGTTCCGCGCCATGCCGACTGCAGCCTGCGGCACTTGCCACTGCTGATCATTTTTTTGAAATATATTTCATTATTTTTCAAAAAAAATTTATTATAGGATATTGAGGTGTGAGCTTAAGCTTACAACTAAAGCGATAGTGAATGAAAATTTCTAAAAATCAGGCGTTCCCTTTTGGTTTCAAAACGCGAGGTTCCTATGACTTATCTATTGATGGGAAAACTAGAATATTAAGAACAATGAGTAGTTTCAGGATAGGTAGGTCTAATTTTATGGTGGGATACCAAGTTTGTTACGGAGGAACCTGTAGTTTCATGGTTTATACTTCCTGCAAGTCTCTTGCTATTATTTTGTTATGCTTCAAGCTATATGGTTGTAGTTAAAATCAAGGAAGGATTATTTTGATATATTGCTAACGAGCAATAGATCCAAATAATTCAAAAGCAATTAACTGCAGTAGTGGATTTAACCACCGAATACGTGTGCAGTAGATATTGTTAAAAATTTACCGCAAACATTATACGACCAAGTCATTCCCCAGCTACAATCGTCGATTATAAGCCGCTGCCTAGAACTTGTATTCGCACCAGAAAGTTCATTCCTAAATATCCCGTGCAGCTTTATTGCTTTTCACATCAAGCAATGAGAAATTATTGAATCTATGTCGTGCGAATGCATATCGCCATACACTCTACATCGCTGACATGCTACTCACATACACATACGCACACACATACACACATATAAGGCGCGAGAGAGTACACACTCAAATGTTACAACTGAAATCAACAGGAGATTCTCCACTGGAATTCCCGTCGGTCAATTACCCTACTGGCAACAAACCGTCACCGTCACAAACATGAGTCAAGCCCAACCCACTCCACACTCGGAGAATCCAGGTTGACGCAAAGGGGAAAGTCACTCTACGCTCCCAACGCTTCCAGGCTCGACTCGAAGAACTAACGTTCTTCGAGCCGTCCCCGACTGTATACCCCTCGTGACCCGAACCCTAACTTCACGTCTAAATATAGTAAGTGTCGAAACTTCGTGAGCCGACTCGTAACTACATGACAGCTGTCGTGCGAATACATATCGCCATACACTCTACATCGCTGACATGCCACTCACATACACATACGCACACACATACACACATATAAGGCGCGAGAGAGTACACACTCAAATGTCACAACTCGGCCCCCTAGCTGGCGGTCAGGTCCCTCTGACTCCCAGGTAGCCCTATCTACAACTACATGCTATACACCTTCGTGGATGCGCGAACCAGTAGGCCGGGTGCTATGTCGCCCCATCGTTAGTCGCCTATCTGCAATTCATAACATGTGAAGATCAAGTCATCTACCCCTATGAAGTACATCGAGGACAAACCCATCGTCCAGCCGGAATAACATAGATAGGCGGAGTCAGGCACAACATGTGCCATCCCCTAGAACACCTATCACACACCAACATACGGGCCGCCTGACCAGCTGATCCACACAGCATGCACCTCAAGCCAGCACGTACTATCGCTAAGCTTGGGTCCATAGTGCCATCTACGTTTGGGAGGTGGCATGGCGCACAATTGCGCACATGATCCTTCCAAACAACGCCGTCATGACCCTCCAACAGGTGAACTCCAGAAGGTAACACCTCCCGCACCCGCAAGATTGTGCGTCCCGCCGTCACATCCAATGTCGTCGGTGCAGTCTGCTGTAGATAGACGTAGTCTCCCACATGGAATCTACGAATTGATGGTCGATAACCTCCTCCCCGAATGGTTGCATACCGCAACGTATCTCTATGTTGAGCAATCGCAAGATTCTCAAACGCTGCAGGCATAACTCTCCGAAAGAGCTCTGCACGTTGAGATGATACTCTCACCCACATATTCGGGTCATCAAGGTTCACCACCTCGCTAGACTCACGACGAATCGATGTTGGCAAGTCTGGATCTCGGCCGTACAATAGAAAATATGGTGAGAAGGAAGCCAAGGATGCCTGCCGACTGAACCGATATCCCATGGCCAACCACGGTAACTGGATATCTTAGTTCCCAAGATGACCTTTCTGCAGACCATACTTGAGCAACGCCCTCTTCACCATCTGTACAACACGTTCAGCTAAATCATCCGCCTCTGGATGATCTCGCGACGTGATCCGATGATCAATCAGTGTCTTGTCGCACAAGACCTGAAACTCCGTTCCCTGATCGGTCAACACCTCAGCTGGTGCACCATAGTGACTAAGCACTCTGTCAAGAAAAGCATACGCTACTCCCTCACTTGCCTTGTCATGTAATGCCACCAACTCAATCCACTTGGAGAAATGCTCCACCATCACCAACACATACCGATGATGTCGTACAGTCAAAGGTAGTGGTCCAGCAAAGGTTAAACTCCAACGGTAACCCAACCCCATGATGGGTAATGGATGTAACACTGGTGTCGGGGCATTGAATGATGCCCTCACTCGATCACAAACCATGCAACGTGATACCAACTGCTGTACCTGAGTATGCATACCACGCCACCAATACTGACCAAGGAGTAAGCTGTATGTACGCTTCACTCCAAAATGTCCCAACTCCTCATGAGCATGCCTCACAATGCGTGCTCTCTTGGCTAGTGCATGGGTTTCGACTCAAACCATCGGCATCTAGGTTCGCAACTCCAGGTCTATGCACTACCTGAAAGTCATATTCCTGTAAGATGAGAGCCCACCGTGCAAGCTTCCCTGTAAGCTTGTCGGACTCCATCAACCACTTGAGCGGTTGATGATCAGTAACAAGGGTGAACTGCGTACCAAACAAGTAACACCTGAAGTGCGCCACAGCCCACACCGCTGCCAAGCACTCTCCCTCGTACGAACTATACCGCGACTCCGCTGCATTGTTCGAACGGCTAGCGTACGCAACCACAAACTCCTTGCCCTCATCATCACGCTGCGTCAACACCGCTCCAAGTCCCAACATACTCCAATCAGTGTGCAATTGGTATGGACGACCTCTGATAGGTCTCCTCAAGATGGGAGCGGCCACCAACCTGGCCTTGAGCTCAACAAAAGCTCTCTCCTGCTCATCTCCCCATTGCCAAGCTGATCTGACTTCAGCAACTGGTTCAAAGGCTTGGCTATAGCACTGAACCCCTTCACATACCTCCGGTAGTAGTTCGCTAAACCCATAAATGCACGAACTCTACTCACATCCGTGGGACGAGGGATGCGTGCAATAGCCTCCACCTTTGCTTGCTGAACTCCTAAACCACCTGGGTATATCACATGACCCAAGTACTCAACCTTCTCCTGGAAGAACTTACATTTCCCAGGATGTAACCTCAAACCATGAGCCCTCAATCGCTCAAACACAATCTGCAAGTGTATCTGGTGTTGCTCCACAGTGTCACTAAACACCAAGATATCATCAATGTAACATCTGACAAAATCCAGCCCTGCCAGGATTCTGTGTATAACCCTCTGAAACTCGGCAGGTGCATTCTTCAACCCAAAGGGTAAGAATCGCCACTGATACAAACAATCCTTGCCGTGGGAGTTGACGCCCCAAAACGCTGTCTTGGTTTTGTCCTCCTCCCGAATTGGCAATTGATGGTATCCTGCATGAAGATCCAAAGTACTAAAAATCCTCGCATGTCCCACCACATCAAAGATCTCCTCAGGTGTAGGCATGGCATACTTATCTGACTTCGTTTGCCGATTGATAGGACGGTAGTCTCCACACATGTGTCTATCCGTGTAGTTGCCATGTACATCCTTCTTCACCGGCATGACAGTGGCTGACGCATACTCACCATGCGATAACTCCACTAGTCCAGCCTCCAGTAGGTCCAACGTCCTACTCCGAATCAAATCTCTCTCCATCTCACTGTATCGATAAGGACGACGGAAGATTGGCGTATCACTAGCCAATTCTATCCGTATACCGGGTCCAATCAACGCACCCAATTCCTTCATACTGAAGGCAAAACAACTCCTATAGTCTCGTAGGAATTGTGTCAATCGTCGCCTCTCTCCTCCTGTGATATGGGAACCAATCAATGGCTCCCATTCCTCCTCCATAGGCACACTAGAGGGAGGCGACACTGTCAATGGTTGCTACGCTACACACTGCAAAGAAGGGTTCTCCGTACCCTCCTTCGTAGCCGCCTCCACCTGAGAATCCTCTCCAACTCCATGGGCTGCAACTCTGGCAAGTCCTTTCGTCACGTCCCATAAACTCCAAGGATGCCGAATATCTCGCCTGTCGCCCCCAGCCATTGCCACTACCGTCCCGGTAGGCAATGAGCTAATAAGTGGTGTAACAACCACCAAATCTGCGCGCAAACGGCGTTGCTCGGCCAAACCCAAGCTCACAATCCACGTCAAGCAGTTCAGGTCCATAGCTTGACCCAAAACCTGACGACGCGACGCCTCTGAAACTAAAGAAGCCGCGGTCACACCAGTAAGAAACCCCATCGCACGCTCTCTCTCATCAGCGTTGGGCTCCACCAACTGATGTAGGGTACTGTCCCATAGTAGTCCAGGTCCCCCATCACGATATGCATGTGATGCTGGATAACTGACAAATGTAGGTAAAGCCATCTGAGGCTGACCTACGCGGTTCACCAACGCCATAGGTAACCTGTCAGCAACTCTCACTACCTGAGAGTGTCGGGAAACATCCAAGATACTGTCAACGGTGAGTGTAGAATCACGCTGCACCGAATCATAGGCATGGCGCAATATCTCACGTGGCAAAAGGTTGGTCCACCACAAA